GTGTGTGTGTGTGTGTGTGTGTGTGTCTGTGTCTGTGTGTCTGTGTGTCTGTTCTGTCATCCCCTTGCCTCAGATGTTTGACTGGATCATGCACAACAAGGGTTTGTTCCTGGCAGGCTACACTGAGATTGGCAATAACCACCCCCACGCCGTTGAGCTCCAAACCCAGCACAACCACTTTGCTATGAACTGCATGGTAAGACACACACACACTCATGTACACACCGATCTGCAGCAGGTATTAATGCTTATCAAATGCATGCCCTGCACTCTATAATCAAATAGTTGATGCACTTTGGGCCTGATCTACGAAAGGTGTGTGAAAACGTGATTTCACCTGCAAAAAAACATGCAAGCTGATCTACTAACAGTGCGCACTGAGGATTGCGTGCAGAATAACACGCGCTGTCCCTTTAATAGTTTGCCTTAATGAAAATTCAATATTAGGCGTTTCTCCCCGAGTGTGCAAAATATTGGGGAGGAGTGAATGCAAATACTTTAATTTAGCACATGCATTGTGATTTATAAAGCCTGAAAATAATTGCAGTTGTTGTGACTGCGTCTATACTTAATACGTTTGAAAGGTAAGTGGTAATCAGCACCATTTGGGATCTTAGTGGATCAGGCCCTCAGTGTCAACCTTTAGTTCCGTGTTTTAGTGTCTTGTGTGCACCTAGCACAGCACAACCAGGCATTTAGTAATCCTATTCTTTATCCACGGTCAAACTTGCATAACCGTTAGGAAACTGTTGAGGCAAGGAATCATTTTAGCCGCGAGCGTCTCTGTCAGCAGATGAGAAACGATGGTGATAGCCCCATAGTCCCTCGCCTCATCCCTTCTACACACAACACTCAATTTTATCCTTTTCACAGTCTTTCTTTTTCTAAATCTGCTCTTTTTGAAATCAGTTTCACCCACCGACTGGTGCATAAATTATCCACAACCCTCAATTTAACTCTCCCCTTTTCTATGTCCCATTTTGTAGAACGTGTATGTGAATATCAACCGCATCATGTCAGTCGGTAACCGGCTGCTGGAGTCGGGTCACTACGCCTCGCAGCAGATTAAGCAGATCTCAGGTCAGCTGGAACAGGAGTGGAAGGCATTCGCCGCCGCTCTGGATGAACGCAGCACGCTGCTAGAGATGTCTGCCAGCTTCCACCAGAAATGTGACCAGGTGAGTTCAACACAAATGTGCTGTACACACATATTAATTATTCATTTATCAATGAATTTACAACTTATTAAGCAAATTGTTTTATCCATGAAATCAAAAAATTGCAATTTTTCCAGAGCCCAACGTGACATTTTCAAATTGTTTTTCTTTAATAAAATAGTAAAGGAGTGAGATTTGCTTTATTTTCATACAATATAAGACAAAGAGAATTGCTGATTACGCATCTCATTTAACACAGATGTTTTGTTTCCTATGAAAATTGTTTTGAATTTGAATTTTGATCTTCTGCGAAGATTTAATGATACAAGTAATTACATTTGATGTGTTATGTAAGCGGAGGGGCTGTCGTATCATTCTTCAGTACCCAATATTTTTCTATTTATTAACCATAATAAAATCCTTAAGAAAAGCAAATTAGGTTCACAGTTTCATCCACAGGGCTGCAAAACATTCAGTCTTTATTTTAGACTATATTCTGTTTACCTTGAGAACAATTGAGCTAATCTGAAGCTGCTTTCAGACATGCACTGAACACTGGATGATCTCCTGACATTCTCTGAAGAGATTGCAAATGTCTAAGTGAGAGCCTCTTGACTTCCTTTGAAGCCCCTGTAGTGAAAACTCTTAAATATCTGAATGAGCAGATATACAGCAGGAGATCCTCCAGAGGATTCACAACAAAACAATGCAATCTCCGCAGCGAAATGAATATGTTATGTCCTGTCTCTGTCTGCTGCACCACCTCTCACCTGAACACTCAGGAGATTTCTGAGTGGTTGAGTCTAAATGTGTCTACATGGATAATCTCCTGCTGTGTTGTTTATGGGAGAAAATCCAGACCCAATTGTGTGGACATTCTCCGGAGTTCGTGTCTGAAAACAGCTTGAGATATGAGAGAGTCCTCCTCTTTATTTTTGTCTATATATCATAAAACTATTGATGAAAAATTTTGTAACTGCTCTGAAATATCTGTTTTTTACTAGATCAACAAAAACAATCAGCATTTTGATAATTGGCTTGAGAGTTAGATTGGAATGATGATGCCACAATACCAATGTTCTCTTCCTACACTTGTACAGAAAGTGAATAAGTCAGGACTAGTAGAAACCGGATTTGTTAAAACTTTCAGTGATGCACCATAGGAACCAGCTGAGGGGCTCAGCCTCACTTTTGTAATAGATGCACATGGACATACATCCACTTGCTTTCTGGGTTGAAAAATACCCTTTTGGCTTCATTAAATCTACAAAAACCCAACATATGCATTGTATTAACATATATTTACATAAACATAGCACAATGTAAGTGAAGCACTTGTGATCTGCTGTTATTTCTGTGCTCATTAGTAGGGCCACTATAGAATGATTCATGGCCTGAAAAGGCACAGAAACAGAATCCCAACTGGGAAACATGGGTGGTATGACTTTTCCAAACTAGAATATTGCTGTCATCAGATCAGCCTTCTGTGTTTATGAACTGAAATAGGAACATCTTTCTTCTCCAGAGGCTCCTACTTAAAACCCCTGTGTCTTATTCCAGTTATCACGGGAGAGATGTTTCAAAAGGCAATAATGAGATTGAGATCACTTGATTATTTTATTTCCCTCCCTTCAGGGGTTACAGAATGTTCCAGGATGTCACCACAGGCCAAGGAAAAACACATTCAACCAGAGATAATTCTTCTGAAAAAGTCTTCAGAGAGCTTGTAACCCTGCACAAAGAAATTCCTGCATTTTTAAAGCCCAGTAATAGTACCAGAAATGATCTTCAGGCGATTTTACGCGTGCTGTGGTACTTCTGACTAACATGTGACTGCTGGTATCATCACAAGGATGTAAACAGCGCCACTGTCTCCTGCTGTGTCTTTGGTGAAACGCTTAATGGCAGTTTGACTAAATATAAGTGCGTTTCCTGCCCTGCAGTACATGAGTAACGTGGACTCGTGGTGTAAGGCGTGCGGCGAGGTGGATTTACCCTCCGAACTGCAAGACCTCGAAGACGCCATTCACCATCACCAAGGCCTGTATGAACACATCACTGCTGCTTACTCTGAGGTAACATCACACTTTACACTCATGTAAATACAAAGATCGAAAGTCACCATGTGTCCACTGGATAGGGATAGTATCTGTTGTTAACTTCTCTCTGTTAGTGGAGATATGAAGTTTGCTTTTACAGTCTTTGCAGTACAAAATACATCATGTCAAAATAAGAGCTTTTCTTGTCAAATTCTGCACAGGATAACCAAATACAATTTAAAATAAGAAAAACTACTCTTCATTGACAGTGTTATTGTACAGTGCAATAGATAACACATTTTATTTCTTACTTATTCATATTGATTCATTTATATTTATTATATTTTTATCATCTTAGTCTCTTAACATTAAATCAAAAGTGCGTGTTCCCATGCATTCATCCCTTCAGTTTGCTGGCTGCTTGTATTTGGATGTTTATGTTTGCAGGTCAAATCATATACCTATTTACCCCTGTGTGTTTGTGTACTGGCTGTGAGTAAAGAATGCAATCACTTTTCTAACCTCAGGTGAGCCAAGATGGCAAAGCCCTGTTGGACAAACTGCAGCGACCTCTGACCCCAGGCAGTGCTGATTCTCTGACAGCCTCTGCAAACTACTCAAAAGCGGTGCACCACGTCTTGGACATCATCCACGAGGTTCTACACCACCAGAGACAGCTGGAAAACATCTGGCAGCACCGCAAAGTGCGACTGCACCAACGTCTGCAGCTCTGCGTCTTTCAACAGGACGTCCAGCAGGTACACACCTGCACACATATATGTATATATATATATATACACACACTGTATGCATGTTTTTGTTTATATACATACAGATGTTTGTTCAAACACGTGGTATTTCCAGGACCAAATCGATGCCAGGGTTTTTTCAATATAATATGAGAGGGTTAGACAGTAATTTGAAAATAGCAGGGTATCTTACTGGCTAGAAGGATTGTACGCTTAATAGAGGGTTTGATTCCAGCAGCAGCCGTGTTTCCTATCAAAATGTCCTTGAGCAAGTAGCTGGAACCTTTCGTCCTCACACATCATGTCCTCTGTGGAAAGGAATATTGGATAAAAGCCTGAAATGTAAATGTTCTCTGCAGAAAGAAATATTTGAAAAACAAGTATAATGAGAATGCCATGATCAAATGATAATGTGACAGATGCATAACGTCCAAAAATCCTGGGCATTCCTGAGAATGTTGGCATGGCAACTGTTGCTATGGCAATAGAATTGGGTCATATGGCCATGCAGATGTCTTTTAACAGGGTGAAGGACATAGAGCATGGAGAGTAGCATGAGAAGAAAAGCTCATTGCTACGCTTCGTATTATACCTATCATTGTTTCAATCATTCCTCCTCTTAACACACTGTTAATTATCATCAGCACTTGTCAATGAACCATCAGCTTAGAGCGCCCCCCTGTGGTGGACTGTTTGTTTACGTCTGTCTAACTTGCGTGCACAGGTGCTGGACTGGATAGAAAACCACGGCGAGGCCTTTCTCAGCAAACACACAGGTGTCGGAAAGTCCCTGCACCGAGCTCGAGCTTTACAGAAACGACATGAAGACTTTGAGGAAGTGGCGCAGGTAGCTGAGTTTCATTTCTCCTTCTGTCTTCATTCTCTGTCAGCATCAAGCTGATATGTCACTGCTGTAGCAATGACAGGTAGTTACCAGAATGTTTTAATCACAACTTCAAGAGAACAATAGACAAAGCTACTATCTATAGAATTTCCCCATTTCATCAAATCATCAATTCTGTTGAGTAATGTATTCACGCAAAATTTGAAAGAATAAACTTCAGGTCCTACAGCTAACCTCATGGCTTTTTCATTTTAGACTTACTCTACAGCCCAACTGCTGTATTTCAAACATTGTTTTTACCCTTTTTGTATTCCACCTTAAGATAACAAATTGTTTCTTCAACATCTTTCTCTTCTTTATCTCACCTTCACCCACTCTCTCTCTATTTCCTCTCAGCTCCTATCTCTTCACAGCTCTGCTATCACTGACTCTTATCAGTGTATACGTCCTCTGCATGTCCTGTTGTTTATTTTCTCCCTCTGTGTCTCTCTCTACTCATTTTCAAAAATATATTTAGTCCGTATCACATTGTCTTCCTGGGCTAATCCATCTCTCCCTCACTGTCCCTGTCTTCGGTGTAGAACACATACACCAATGCCGACAAGCTACTGGAGGCGGCAGAGCAGCTGGCCCAGACGGGAGAGTGCGACCCAGAGGAGATATACCAGGCCGCCCACCAGCTAGAAGACAGAATCCAAGACTTTGTTCGCCGCGTGGAGCAGCGCAAAGTCCTGCTGGACATGTCTGTCGCCTTCCACACGCACGTCAAAGAGGTAGGCAGGGAGGATGACATAATACTGAAGTGGATGGTGGGCTGTGTGTTTGTGTGGATGATCATTTTTCACAGTGCCCTGTGAGCAGGAGGGAAATAATTACCAGATAAAATATGTGAATACATGAGAATTTTGTGGGTTTTTTTTAAGTCACTTAGTCACATAGAGACAGTTTTAAAGAAAGGCATTCTATGATAAAAATTAGTTTAGATGAAGGTTAGTGTTAAGGGTTGGTTTAAAATGTTAAAGCTTTTATTTTTAGGCAGCTTCTTTAAATCCAAAAGCTACTGAAAATGTGTGTAACTGATTGTTCATGTGTGGTGTCGTCACAGTGTGGGTTTTTGTTTCTGTTCTGTGGCTTTGTACCTCTGAGAGGTGCAGACCACTGTGTGCCTCAATGCAACAACGTGCGTTTTTTTTCTTATTTCACTCAAGCAGGAATGTTCACAACCCCAATGTAAAACACTGTGCTGCAACTCAATTTTATGAAGTTGCTGAAAAAACACATACTAATAAGTGTCCTCCTGTAGCTCTGGACGTGGCTGGAGGAGCTACAGAAGGAGCTGCTGGACGATGTTTACGCCGAGTCTGTGGAGGCCGTCCAAGATCTGATCAAACGCTTCGGCCAGCAACAGCAGACCACCCTGCAGGTCACCGTCAACGTGATCAAGGAGGGAGAGGACCTCATCCAGCAGCTCAGGTAGAGAACAGCAAAGCATGAAGGATCAGCTCTGATGACACCTTTGTAAATATTCCTTAAAAAAGCAAATGGGTGTGGAGAGAAAGTGATAAGTTAATATTCATTGCCACATCTACATATTTTAAACTTTTAATTCTGCTTCTAAAGTAACTTAAGCTCTACATGTTTTTTCTCTGCACACTAACAGTCTGTACTCTGTACCTGAACTGAAATCAAAACCCACAATACAGATATACAGATATAGAAAAGGGAGAAACACTAAAACTGGCAATACCACTGTGATGCTGATCTGAAACCAGCCTCTGCAAAACTAGAACCAGTTGAATCTAGCAGCCATAGAACAAAATATATATGATATCGATTTAATATAGAGTAAAATCCAAAAAGGGAGCTCAATTCTTCTTCAAGCCTACATTACTGAAACTACACCCTGCGAGAGAAGTCAGCAGCAGTGAAAGAAAGCAACAACAGTGGGAATGTTCACACCAAAACAACATAGCTCCCCTGTGAACCATTTAGTAACAATGAAAGTTAAAAAAGAAAAGAGTGAACATTTGTAGGTCTACTTGCATCATCGACTTCCTGTTTTAATGTTGATGTTAAATATAGCTTTACCAGGGGATTTTGGACATGGGGAGATTTGGGATTCAAATTTGTGTAAATGTGCAAACAAGGGAAAAAATATGAATATATGCAAGGAAATAGTTTGTCAGTATAATTCTGAAAAGACAATAAAGAAAGCTGAGAGGATGGGAGGATGTGTTGGGAGAGGTGGATGCAGTTGACCATCATTGTCCAACTTTATTTTACTGAGGATATTCCAGTCTCTCTTCATCCACCCCCTTTTCTTTCTCTCTCCTTTTCCTCTTTCTCTCCATCCCTCTTTCCTTCCATCCCTCTTTCCCTGGTGTGTTGGCTCCACAGAGAATTCTTACACAAGTCCGCTTTAATAAGCATGTGTCTAATTGTATGGCAGTGTTACTGTGAGGCAACTGTAACTCTACATACCTACTGCTTTGCGTGTGTGTTTGTGCACACGTGCGTTCATGAATGTGCACGTGGGAGTGCATCTGTCACGCTGATGAATCCAAGTCACTCAGGATGAGTCTGACCTCCACTGTCTTTGCTCACTTGTATTTTGCCTCTCATGAGCTCACTGGTGTCTATGTGTGAGCATCATGCATGTCTACATCTGTCAGTTTGATGAATCAGAGTCAGGCGACGTGTTTCGACCCCCCCGTAACCATCGAGACTCAGTGAGTAAGAATGTGCAGCTTTTAATTTAATTTAAATATTAGACACACCCCCGATATCATCACTAAGGCGGGATTCCTTTTTTTGTTTTCAACTGTGTAACTTACCAATGATTCTGACAGTCAACAATCAATTATATTATATATCCAGGAAAACATATTTTCAGTTTTGAAATGACTGGATCACAGGTTTTCTAGCTAGTTTGTACATTCGAACACAAGGATCCAAGAGCCACTTAACTATTTATTGAGGACACAATCAATGAATGAGTGGATGTGTTTCTGAACAATAAACCAACATAGATCAATACATTGCCACGCATACCATTACTTAACACAAAAATCGATTTGCTTATGCATCCACTAAGGCGAACAAGTTGGCAAGACTGCTGGGAGAGCAGTAGGGAAAAATGGGCTTATCTCAAAAACTAAAATATCCACATAGTTCAAATAACTTGAGTAGTGTTAAGAATTTTTATTTTCTATATTTAGAAATTGTTTTATTTAGCTAAATTCTTGAAAAACATGTCAGTTTTTGATAGCACAATAAGTGATTTTTAAATTTAAAATGTAACCCTGATAACTTTTTACTATTTCATTGAATCAACCACTCTTTTCTACTCTGCAGGTTTCTTATGTGCAGCTTTAAGAGCAGCTACTTCCACATGACATCATGCCCATCAGTGTCGTTATAGCAGTTTTTTTGCTGTGCTCTGCCCTTCTCTTACAAATTATTGCTTAACTGTGTGTTTCTGTTCCAGGGACTCCGCCATCTCCAGCAACAAGACGCCCCACAACAGCTCCATCAACCACATTGAGAGCGTCCTGCAGCAGCTGGATGAGGCACAGGCGCAGATGGAGGAACTCTTCCAGGAGAGGAAGATCAAACTGGAACTCTTCCTGCAGCTACGGATCTTTGAGAGGGATGCAATTGACGTGAGTCGGCTGGTGATGAGGGGCGTGTCTCTGTGCTTTTACTTTATGTCTATTATGAGTGAGTGTTTGAGGGGCTGGTGGTGGAAACAAAATAATTCAATAATAAAATAACCATTGAAATTAAGCAATATTTTCTCTGAGATGTGTGGAAGATGTTCTTCATGGTCAAAAAGTAGAATCTACAATAAACGATATTCTATTCAGACATTCACACTTCTAGCACTATCAGTAAATATTCGAGGTGTGTGTGAAAAAATGTTGTGCTTCCCTCAGATCATCTCAGACCTGGAGTCGTGGAACGAGGAACTGACAGGTCAAATTAATGATTTTGACACTGAGGACCTGACGCTGGCCGAGCAGCGGCTGCAGCACCACGCCGACAAGGCTCTGACCATGAACAACCTCACCTTCGACGTCATCCACCAGGGTCAGGAGCTGCTGCAGTACGTCAATGAAGTCCAGGCCTCTGGTGAGTACACTCCCCGACCCAGGATTAGAGGTGTGCAGCCTCACCAGTCTTTCCATTCGATTAGGATTCAGCAGTCAACGATTCTGTATCACATCCACAATTTTCTATATAACTGCACATGGCTGCTTTTTCATCATGTAGTATCAGTTAATTAAATCATTCAGACAAACATGAACTCTATTTCTATTTAGAAACTGCTGTTATTTACAAAATAATGTTTTCAATTCATAAATCAGACTACAACAGTAAGTGAATAACAGTGGTCAGTGCTCCCCACACTGGTTTGACTCTTAAAAGGTCAAACTCTGATTACAGCCTTCACCGTATTAAGGTGGCCCCACCGGGCCCCCCCTTAGCTGTGCCACTGCACTGAGGTGCATATCTCTGCATCACAAGTGACTCTGCTCCTCTGATGTTCTCTAATCACTCACACTTCGAGCTGATCGTTATAAAAAGCTGCTGAATTCATATCTATGTTTCTGGAGAAACGGGGCGTTGCTTCTTCTGCAACAATGAAGTTAAAATATGTTGCATTATTATCAGTGGGAAAAACCTCTGTCTGCAGGAGTGTGTGTGTCTGTCTGTCTGTCTGTGTGTGTGTCTGTGCTCGTCTCTGTCCCTCCTCACACACAAACTGATAACCGCATTTTTAGTAATTAATCAATGATGTTGGATCATGACTCCGGATTGTTCCAGACACTTTATCCCTGATGCCCTGACTGTGCTCGTCACATTACATCTCATGTTGTGTAGCAGGTTTAAACATGTCTCATAAACTCTGGAGCGAATCAAAAAAACACAAAGTAAACGTAAGTCCTGTACATCAGCGGGGGAGTGAGGAAGAAGCCGACTCAGACAGGAGACTAACGCAGGACGACCGGACCTTAAATGTGCGTCTGTCCTGATCCTGAAGCAGTGGTGTTATAATTTTTCGGCGGTGGAAACACGCTAAAACAATGAGCGTAGCAGAAAACGTGAATCGATTATGTTCTGTCGCTGCATCGATGCAGAGTCGTCCATGTACGCTTCGCGATGCATCTAAGAATCGAGAAATTTCCACACCTTTACCCCGGGTAACCCTCAGTCTTACAAAGAGCCAAAACAATTTTGTTTTGTAAATTTAGTTTTGTTAGCTGTTCAACATCTGCCCTCTTGTGATTCTACTGTCAGAATCTCTTATATCTCAAGTGCTGTGAAGTAGTTTCAGGTATGAAGTGGTGAAGTGAAGAGATGTTTGACTGCCATCTGCTCGCCACATCAGTCATCAGTCATCATCCAGCTCAGGGTTTAAAGAATGCAGCTCATGTTCACTGCTGCTGCATACATTTCTGTGTTACATTAGTTTAATATTGATACTGTGTAGGTGTCGAGGATCGGTTTGGGTCAGTGTTTGTGATGAGAGGCTCCCACTCACTAACCATAATAACTCACCTGTGGTCTTATGCTAATATGTGCTCTCTAAAAGTACATGAGGCATGATGGCATCATGTCACATGTATTGGAGCATGCTGATAATATAATTCATAGAGCAGAATGGAGAGAAATCATTCAAGTTCCTATATTAAAAACATTGGTGGGGTGATGAATAACCTGTAGGTGTGTTGTATACAGGCTGCTGTATATACAATATATACACAATATTTAACTGGCCAGACTTTCATAATCATACGAAAACACTTTCACACAACATCAAAGATCTTGTTTTGTGTCTTTGCTGGATTGTGGAGCTGTGTGTGTTCAGCGCTCTCTTTTCCTCTTTGGCTCTGTCATGATGTCCAGACTGAGAATACTGCGGGAGCCTTTCCTTGTGTCTTAAGCCTTTCCAGCTAACTCTAGCTCTGCTTGTTGGTGTGTAACACGCGCTGTTAAGCATGTTGCAAATGTTGCTGCATGACACACCAGAGTCACATAGTGCTCTTCCAGCCTGCGGCAATTACAGAGACACATTAAAGTTTTCAATCAGTTCTTAAATTGCATAATTTGCAAAGTAACAACTAAAACTGGTTGTTTGTAGTGAAATAGCAGGACTTTGTCAGTTGAATTCTGTACTTATGTAGGTTTTAGCTTAGATGAGATCAGGATTGAGATTATGTCAGACTCTGCTTGTCTAGAATTTATTGGAGCAGTGTAACAAGATGTGGCAGGTAGGCAGAGGTTGGACAGAACTTCAGCTCTCATTGATATAAGTCTGTCCCTTGCATCCATCTAGAACTAATATCATCGCGTGTTCTCCCTCCAGGTGTGGAGCTGCTGTGTGACCGGGATGTCGACATGGCCACAAGAGTTCAAGACTTGCTGGAGTTCCTCCACGAGAAACAGCAAGAGCTGGACTCGGCAGCTGAGCAGCACCGCAGGCACCTGGAGCAATGTGTCCAACTGAGACACCTGCAGGCTGAAGTCAAACAGGTAGGACAGCAACAGGTGGCGCCTGCAGGCTGAGATTTTGCAACCTCAGTGCACCAGCATACATGCAAGATCTCAAAAAGATTGAGCCCTGATTACAGCTTTCCATTTTTTGTCCAGGTTCTGGGTTGGATTCGTAATGGTGAGTCGATGCTGAATGCTGGTTTAATAACAGCCAGCTCCCTGCAGGAAGCGGAACAACTGCAGAGGGAACATGAACAGTTTCAACATGCCATTGAGGTGATTTAGTTTCAGTTTATCCCATCAGTTTCTCAATTTTCTGTCCAGTCAAGTCTATAACTAGTTTTTTGGGGGGGTAATTCTAACCTCCCTTTTTTTTTTTATCTCTCTTCAGAAAACTCACCAGAGTGCTCTGCAGGTTCAGCAGAAGGCGGAGGCTCTGCTCCAGGCCAACCACTACGACATGGACCTGATCAGAGACTGTGCAGAGAGTGTGGCGTCCCACTGGCAGCAGCTCATGCTGAAGATGGAGGACAGACTCAAGCTAGTTAACGCCTCTGTGGCCTTCTACAAAACCTCTGAACAGGTAGGGGACCACATTCAATGTAACTTTCTGCCCCCCAGATATTTCATAAATCATATAATTCAGTATGTTCTCCAGACATCTGACTGAGTGTGTTTCTCCTGTCAGGTGTGCAGTGTGTTGGAGAGCCTGGAGCAGGAGTATAAGAGAGAAGAGGACTGGTGCGGAGGAGCCGACAAACTGGGACCCAACTGTGAAACGGACCATGTCAGCCCCATGATCAGTAAACACCTGGAGCAGAAGGAGGCTTTCCTCAAGGTAACACACAAAAAGTCAGGATAAAACCAATGCAGAGTTTCAAGTAAAGTGTTTGATTTCATTGAGTGTAATTTTTTTCAATCAGGCGTGCACTCTGGCCAGAAGAAATGCAGACGTCTTCCTCAAGTACATGCACAGGAACAGTGTCAACATGCCCGGGATGCTGAGTCATGTCAAAGCACCAGAGCAACAGGTTAAAAGTGAGTGTCTGAGAACACATTTCACATAACCTGGGAGGTAACGTCTCAACATGGTGATCTTGTTAAAAGCTATGTGTTTTGGGGGCATAGCGTTGATGAGAGGACCAATGGGAGGGCCTGGGATTTATCCTTTGCATTTTATCAAAGTGTAGACTGCTCTTTCTAGTTTTTACCAACCCTAGCGTCAAAAATTACAAAATAACTGGAAGAAATAAATAAGCAGTTTGATTAGTTAGCCCAAATAGTGGTTAAATGCTTGAATTAACTACACATAATGTGCATGTAGTTAAAACAGTTGAAACATTCAGCTTCTGCCATATCAGGTTTTAATAGCACAAACACACTGACGTGTATGAATATTTTTTTTCATCAAGATCCTATATTGTATTCTCTGATGCATGGTGTTAAAGAAGTGATACTTTAATTATTTGACAGGGATGTGGGGGCACACCTGTCAGACTAGGAGCCCAAAAATATGATAGAGATGCACTGAAAGAAGTGATATTGTGAATGATATTAAAGAGTCTTGTCTGTGTTTCTGATGGGTTCAGACATCCTCAATGAGCTGCTACAGAGAGAGAATCGTGTTCTCCACTTTTGGACCATGAGGAAACGCCGGCTGGACCAGTGTCAGCAGTATGTGGTGTTTGAACGCAGTGCCAAACAGGTGAGAGAGACAGTCGTGAGCACACAGTTCACTTGCACTGCAACAGATCTCTTTTACCGACAAGATAGGAAGACACACTGCTCTCTGTCATGCAATTAACTGTTTTCTCTCTCTCTCTCTCTGTGTGCGCGCGCGCGCGCGTGTGTGTGTGTGTGTGTGTGTGTGTGTGTGTGTGTGTGTGTGTGTGTGTGTGTGTGTGTGTGTGTGTATTCAGGCTCTGGAGTGGATTCACGACACTGGGGAGTTTTACCTGTCCACACACACCTCCACTGGCTCAAGTATCCATCACACACAGGAACTGCTGAAGGAGCATGAGGACTTCCACATCACAGCCAAGGTAGGCTGCACAGAAACACACACACACAATAAACATGGACACCAACATTTCAATATTAACCAGAATAAGACTCTGCCATGTAAACATTTTCTGATTACCTCTACCTGCTTTTGGTCATACTCAAAATAGGTAATAATCAAACTGATGTGGAGTATTTGGATCTTAGTTACATTTTGTAGACATTTATATGCTTAATCGCATTATTACATCCAGGATTCCAACTGCTGGTCGACACATGCCCACAAGTAGTGGGACGAAACAACACGAGTTACAATCAGACTCTGTCCCATGTAAACAGGAATATTAATGGAATAATCTGTTAGCAATATCTTATTCTGAATAACTTCAATAGTGGGAATATTTTGCATTATGTAAACCATGCATGCTGGTGTGTGTATGCCCGGGCATGTATCTAACACTCTCTTTTCTTTTCTTCAGCAAACTAAGGAACGTGTGAAGCTGCTGATCCAGCTGGCTGATGGCTTCTGTGAGAAAGGCCACAGTCATGCTGGAGAGATTCAGAAATGGGTGACGGCTGTGGACAAACGCTACAGAGACTTCTCCCTGCGTATGGATAAGTACCGCTGCAGCCTGGAGAAAGCCCTGGGCATCTCCTCGGACTCCAACAAGGCAGTAAGTGGACATGTGTGTTTTCAGGTGTACAGCACCTGCCAGTTCCCATTCTCAGTTTCTAAGTCTGTCTGTTTAAATCCCTTAATCTTGAAATTAATCTCTGTCTGTGTCAGAGTAAAGATCTCCAGTTGGACATCATCCCAGCCACCGCTCCGGGGTCAGAGGTCAAGCTGAGGGATGCCGCTCATGAGCTGAATGAGGAGAAGCGCAAGTCGGCCCGCCGAAAGGAGTACGTCCTCAATTCCTGTTAATGTCACAGTTTCAGATATCAGAAGAACAGGATAAATGTTCAACACTTCTTTAAACTGACTTCCTCTGCAGATTAAAATATGCTCCAGGTTGAGCTTAATAAAACAGCAGTTCCCTTCTGAGCAGCACATGCTAATCCTTCAACTTTAATAGATAGATGCAGGCCAACATTTATACAGCTTTTTTCCTCTTGTTTGAAATAAGAAGGAACTATTATGTCAGTAGGGTCGGTAGACTGCGTACCTCCGCCAAGACCCAACAATCTATACTAAATTACACACACTCAAACATACCAGTCCCCTAAACATGCCAAAAAACAACCATCTCACAAAAATTTAAAGTGTTCTAACTTTGCCACCTCTTCTCCATCCTTCCACCAAATTTCATGGAAATCTGTTCAGCAGTTGCGTAATCCTGCTGAAGAAAACAACAAACAAACCAGCAACACACAGGAGTGACATAACATCCCTGTCTGAGATAATTAAATGATTGGCTGTGTGTCCAAAAAACGTAGCAGAGCAGTTGAACTTCTTGAAATCTTCTCAGGCTGATTTATTGTAGTCGTCAGTGTCCTTGTCAACAGCAACGTCAGCACTGAACTCCGGCTTCTCAATAGTTGTAAGTGGTTCTGAATAAGAGTGAGTGCGCTCAGTGTAAATGTCCATACATAATGGATTTATGGGATTTAAACTTCCTCCTCTGCTTTGCTGCGTCAGCTGCAGACGGTCGAGCTCTGCTAGAGAACCAACCAGTCGACGTGCACTGCACAGGAAATGGAGACTGTCATTTTATATAAGCAGCACAAATCATCAGCATGATTTCATTCATTTGTGGCTGGTTTATGGCCACATTTTATGGCCAGTAAGTCTTTCATTATTCATTACAGTAAATGGAGGAGGCATGCAGGCTGGAAGGGAGCTACTGACATGGTGATTTATCTCTGGGTGGATGAGAAAAGTGTGACAATCGGTAATTTTGTGCCTGTGTGTCTTTTTGTGTGTCCAGGTTCATCATGGCAGAGCTGATTCAGACAGAAAAAGCCTACGTACGAGACCTGCGGGAGTGCATGGACGTGAGTGCACCCTCACATCCCACCACTGTTAAGAGTTGTGCAACAACGTTTCACACATAATCTGATAATGTGTTGTGGGTGGCTGTGGCTCGGGAGGTAGAGTGGGTTGTCAACTAACAGAAGGTCTGGGGTTCAATCCCCAGCTCCTCCATTAGGTGTGGCAAAGTGCCTTAACACTTAACCCTAAATTGTCCTTATCGCTGTGCTAGCAATGAGTGAGTGAAGTGTGATAGTGCTGTACTTAGATGTACTGTATGAATATATGTGATAATGGCAAATCTCTACAGTAAAGCACTTCATCAAGACATGTTTTTTCTTTGTCTGGTCTCCATGCAGACTTACCTGTGGGAGATGACCAGTGGAGTTGAAGAGATTCCTCCAGGAATCATCAACAAGGAGCACATCATCTTTGGAAACATGCAGGACCTCTATGAATTTCACCATAAGTAAGAAACAGTTTTTGAGTCATGCTATATACAGTTAAGCTTTGCAGTAGGATTCAAGCACCCTGATGCAAATCAAACCTGGATTAAAACAATAAAACTCAAAATTTAAAACAAAGTTTGGTATTTTAAGGATTTAAGCTTAAAGATCTAGAGCTTTTGTAGTTTTGAACCTTTAATTATCTCATTGTTTGTTTTATAGCATCTTTCTTAAAGAGCTGGAGAAATATGAGCAGCTTCCAGAAGATGTTGGCCATTGCTTTGTCACATGGGTATGTATCATTAGTTCATTAACATTTGTTTTGTATGCTCAATTCAAGCCTGCATTCAGTAAAATAGCTTGTACCTTGGGGTGGCTGAGGCTGTGGCTCAGGATTATGTATCAATACAGCCCATTTGGTCCACTACTGTGTCAGTGAACATTTACATCAAACATGTCACAGTCATTGTAACCTGTTTCTCTCTTCCTCCAGGCCGATAAGTTCCAGATGTATGTGAACTACTGCAAGAACAAACCCGACTCCACCCAGCTCATCCTGGAGCATGCTGGGAACTATTTTGATGTGAGTATCGCCTGTGGTAATGGAATGAAGCCTAGCGCTGATTGTCATTTGCGCTGGATCACATAACTTCTCTGTGTGGGTGTTAACAGGAAATTCAACAGAGGCACCGACTGGCCAACTCCATCTCTTCCTACCTGATCAAGCCTGTGCAGAGAATCACCAAGTATCAGCTCCTGTTGAAGGTAGCCCTCCGTATCCAATCACATGATTGTGGTTGTTATGTCCACGGTTACTGTAGTCATGGTATCTGTGGGTATGTGTTTAGGAGCTGCTGACTTGCTGTGAAGAAGGTAAAGGAGAGATAAAGGACGGGCTGGAAGTGATGCTCAGTGTTCCTAAGAAAGCCAACGATGCCATGCACCTCTCTATGCTGGAAGGTGATCAACACACACTATTTATTTATGTTGTTCTGATCTTTTATTGTATTATTTGTAGCAAATCTTCATAAATATGGAAACAATACAGTTGTTCATGTTATAATCTCCTCCAGGTTTCGATGAAAACATCGAGTCCCAGGGAGAGCTCATTCTCCAGGAGTCCTTCCAGGTCTGGGATCCGAAGACTCTGATCCGTAAAGGTCGAGAGCGCCACCTCTTCCTCTTCGAGATGTCTCTTGTCTTCAGCAAGGAGGTCAAAGACTCAAATGGCCGCAGCAAATACATCTATAAGAGCAAACTCTTTGTAAGTAGTTGACAGTGAAATATATGTAAAGAAGTGTGTTTGTTTTGTCTTTATTTAACTTTATTAACAGTGTTATTAAAGGGTCAGTCAAGCGTTTGTGTTTTTGTTTTATGCCAAATATCTTAAACATATCTTTAACTTTACAAAATCTAATTAAATCTAGTAAAGTGAATCAACACTTGATCCATTGTCTCAATAAATCACTCTTTATATGGGGTGAGTGTATTTCAAATCTTCTTGTTGTGCCCCAGTGAAACTTTTCACTCATATTGTTCTTCTCCCTCCTCAGACATCAGAGTTGGGGGTGACAGAGCACGTAGAAGGAGACCCCTGTAAATTTGCTCTATGGGTCGGACGCACCCCAACCTCAGACAACAAGATTGTACTCAAGGTAAAACACGTTTCCTCTTCCTTTTCAAATTACTTTAAGGTTCGACTGATATGGGTTTTTGAAAGAACTCTCAAATTACTCAACCTTGAAATCCGAGATTGTAACAGTGACAATTCTAATGATTAAGATTACAGGTTTGTAATCTATGTAATCAAACAATGGTTTGCTTTAGAGCTGCCAGATGCCCCCTACAGATCAATAAATGATAGTGGAGATCAGATGTGTTGGAAAATCTTTATATCAGTCGAATCCATTTTTTTCTCTTTCAGCTTTTCTTCTACTCTCTGATGTCTAGTTTGTTTGCATGAGCAGATTGGAAGTGGCCTAGAAGCTTTCTGTATTTTCACATCACATCTCTCTTCCTTCTCTCTCTGTCAGCCTCTGTCCTCTGGTTGGATCCTGCTTTGTTCTGTCTCTTAACAAACATGGGCACATCTGTATATCTGGGGCTGTGTTTTCTGTGGATGTTTGTATCTCTGATTCTCTCTGTGGGCTAACATGCTTCCACCAACGCTGCTGACATTGATTCATCTCCCGAACGCCCACAATCACCCATGCTGGCTCTATGCCACATTATCACAGGGACCGGTAGCCATCTTTCTCTGCCAGTAAACTAAGCTTTTCATGATGTGATGTGCCATTGGAGAAATTCTATTTAATTACTTGTCTGGGTGATTTTTTTTTTTTTTAAATTTTCAATTCCCTTTTTTCAAACAGCTTCTGTTTTTCTGTTGGATATTGTCACAGATGGGTTAAATTGTGTGTCAGCCGTTGGGACAGCATGACGCCAAAATCACAAAAACACATTTAATTCTGAATGTCTCCAACAACTTCATGATACATGTTGACTTCCAAACTCATTACTTACTACACATGTTCTCACAATCTCTCTTTCTCTCTCTCTCACACACACACACACACACACACACACACACACACACGTAATTGGCCTTCAGTGCACTTTCAAGGCTTGTCACTGTTGTGCGTCTCTATCATGTTAAACTGTTTTGTCAGATTAAGAAATGTCTTGTGCATCTTCTAAAAGCATATCAGTGAAATTCTCTATTTTATATTTTAAATTCAAAGCTAAGTCAGGGATCCAAACATGGAGCCATGGTGAGTACAAAACATCCCACAACACAGCCCTCAGCCACTTCGCACAAGTCTGAAACACAAACTCTCAGCACCTCTTATCCTCACCTCTCTAGAACAGTATCACACAACACATAGACAAACTGTGTGTGGACAAACCAGCACACATAGAAGAAGCCCACTCTGACCCAGGTCCTCCACATGAAAGGTTTTAAAATATTTTAGGACAGTGATTCCTAACAAAGAGTACTTGTTCTTCAGGGGGAAAACCATCAGTTACTCATAGGAGTACTTGAGAAGATTTTGCAGTAGAACAACAAATCAGAAACATAACATTTCATTTCAAAATGATCCACACATTGAGTTTGCTGTTACACATGAAGACTGAGTTGTGAGTGAGTCAACTAGTTATGTAGTAAGCAGTAAGGTTTTGAACTGCTAGAAATTAAAAAAGTTCATGTTAGCTATGAGATATATAATCAACTGCTTAATCTAAGAAACACTTAATTAGCTAAAAGTAACTTTCATAGAAAAAAGCCTGACATGCATAGTTGAAGATAACTACAATCACTGTTCTGGTCGACCACAACTAGAGAGGACTAACATAAAATAAAAACAAATCAAATCTGTAAAGTGACTTCAGTTAATTAGAGATGACGAGAGATCAATTCAGACTTGTGTGACACAGAGTGAAACAAGAATACCAAAGGAAATTTGTAATTTCCTGATATCTCTTAACTTTGAACTCCCTCCGTCGTTGGCAGGCGTCGAGCATCGAGAACAAGCAGGACTGGATCAAGCACATCAGGGAGGTGATCCAGGAGCGCACCATTCACCTGAGAGGAGCCCTCAAAGAGCCCATTCATATCCCTAAAGCAACAACAGCCAAGCACCACAAGGGACAAAGGTAAACATGTTTCAACTGATGTATAGGACTTTCTTTGGGAACTGGGAGATGTGGGAAAATATTTGTTTTTTGTTAATTTACCCTCACTTTGATAAATAATTCGACCTGTAACTGATAACGTGTGTGTTGTTTTGTTTGTTTTAGGGATAGAGAGGACCTGGACAGTCAGGGTGAAGGCAGCAGCCAACCAGACACCATCTCTCTGGCGTCCCGCACCTCTCAGAACACGCTGGATAGCGACAAGGTGAGGGTGCGCTCACACTAGTGATTGACGTTGATGTCCCAACTGCACATTGTCTGCAGGATTCTAAGCATCTTTCACATTTGGCATCAATATGCGACACTGCACCCGGTGCCTCATTTATAGCATAAAATAGAGATCTGAAAGGTGCATATGCTACATCTCACACAAATATTGTGATATTTAAAAACAAACTTGACGGGAGAATAAGCGCACCAAAACCTTTGTATGCATGTTTTCAGGTAGATCATGATCTATAAAGGGAACATTACCTTTAGGTGTGCGGGTGCACAGTTATAAATCAGATTCTTTTCTGGCTTTTGTGCATTTATATTTAAATCCAGTGCACTGTTTTATAAAGGAGGGCCCTACTCTTAGTGATTATCCTCTTCCTCAGCTCTCTGGTGGCTGTGAGCTGACTGTGGTGATACACGACTTCATGGCCAGCAACAGCAACGAGCTGACTGTGCGCCGCGGCCAGACGGTGGAGGTTCTGGAGCGTTGTCACGACAAGCCGGACTGGTGCCTGGTCAGGACCACAGACCGCTCCCCGGCCCAGGAGGGCTTGGTTCCCTGCGCTATGCTCTGTATCGCCCATTCCAGGTCCTCCATGGAGATGGAGGGCATCTTCAACCACAAAGGTCAGAGCTGTATGTGGTCTGAAGAGTTTGACGGCGTGTCTGTTATTGAGGAGAGAGGATGGGCTGGAAAAAAGCTTTGATACTTTGTGGATATCTGCATCATAAGAAAAACAAATATCTTAATGATTGTGTGGCTTCCTTTGTCACAGACACTCTGTCAGTGTGCAGCAATGACTCCATCATGCCAGGGTCGTCCGCCACACTTCAGCCTGGTCACGGCATTGGCTCTCACACCTCACCAGGGCCCAAACGACCAGGTATGATCCCCCTATCATTTTTAAAAGATCCCAACACCCAGCTTTATCAACTCAAAGACACAGCTACATCAGATTTTAGTTGTCTTCAAAATTGTTTCGTTTATACTGTGACTAAAGTAGTTTCTTTGGCCAGAGTTTTATTGTAAGTACTTATACAGTACTTCTTAAGCAGCTAACCAAATTCCCAGTCAGCTACTGTGTACTGATGGAACTCATGATGAATTGAAAAGTAGATGATATTTTTCAAATAAAAGGTACATTTCTGTAGGTTTACCTTCAACTGTTACTGTTCAGTGTGGTTTTAGAAATGATGCTCCATAGTGCAGCAAACTCATTGAGGTGTGTTTGATTTGTTGCCAAGGTAACACCCTGCGGAAGTGGCTCACCAGCCCAGTGCGTCGGCTAAGCAGCGGCAAGGCAGATGGCCACGTGAAGAAGCTGGCTCACAAGCACAAGAAGAGCCGCGATGTGAGGAAGAGCGGGGAGATGACAATGGGCTCGCAGAAAGACTCCGACGACAGCGCCGCTACACCTCAGGATGAGACTGTGGAGGAGGTGGGTTGAATACGCCTCTGTCCAGTCAACAGTTCCTCTGCACTTCTGTGAAGCTTTATTTAATCTCTAAACCATGTGTGTTGCAGAGGGTTCGTAACGAGGGCCTGTCGAGCGGCACATTGTCCAAGTCCAGTTCTTCAGGCATGCAGAGCTGCGGCGAGGAGGAGGGCGAGGAAGGTGCTGACTCTGTGCCACTGCCTCCACCTATGGCCATCCAACAGCACAGCCTGCTGCAGCCAGACTCACAGGACGACAAGGTGAGCAGAGGGAGGACGTTACCACTGGGACACATGTGAGGGGTCAGAGAGAGGAGACAGAGGAGGAGGGAAGAAGAACCAGAGGAGTCAGAGGGAGAAGTTAGGACATAAATAAGTGTTTGCTTCTGTAGAAGCATTATCAGCATGTCCACTCGCTCACAGTGAATCCTCTGGAGCATCTGCTGCCATGATCTCTTATGAGCTCAATCAGATATTATCCAGAGTTTTTCCTCAGGTCTGGCTGGAGAAACTGCCGATTAAGTTCAGAACCTCTCAATCGTAAATGTGCGTCCTCACATAAAGCCACTCTGGCTAATTTCAGATTATCCTGAGTGAATTGCAGGTCTGAAAGCATCTTCAGATAAACATTCACTTTCTATACATAAAGAGGTTACACAAAAAAAAGTGATTTCTTATTATTATTGTTCTTGTAACTAAACCAAAACTTCAAATTCATATTCGGACCAATATTAAGGAATGTTATACTGAGGAATATTAAGGTGAGCAGGTTAACGACGGCTATCTTTCTTTTCCCTCTAATTGAAACACTATCTGCGTTGAAGATAAATCCAGAACTTGGGCTTCTCCTCTTCCTTCTCATTACTGTTATGATTTTTAGTTCTTGAAGAAACATTTTTACTCATTATTCTTCCACTTTTCCCTAAATAAGCACATCTCCTGACACAGTTTTAAGTGACTCTTTAGTTTCTGTTATGCATAACATTTTTATCTTGGCATGTTGCATCATATTCTCTCCTCTCCTTCTAAAGCAGAAAGCACTGAAACGTTTCAGGTAGTCTTCGTCTCCTGCTCGACTAAAGCGGGACTCCTCTGACACTAATTTCTGTTTCTCTTTTGTTTTGTTTCCTGGTTGTATCGTTTGCTGTTCGCCATGCTGTAGCATTACCTTGATTTATGTCCTGTCTTTGCTTTGTCTCAGTTTCCATACCTCTCCATCTAAAATGCCCTGCTCTTCCCCCCTCTGTCTCTTCCCTCAGTCAACTCTTGGATTCTCTTTTTTTTTTTCCTCCAACTCTTCAGCTTTAACTGCTACTCACTTTCTAGTTTGAAAACAGATGAAGCACGCAGCTTTTTGTAGACTTTCTTCTTTTTAAACTACACCTCTCTGTCCCCTAAAAGTCACTCTACCTGACTTTTGTATTTTTCTCAACTTTTAAACATAACTGCATTTCTTTAGTGCAGTTTTTTTCCTTCCATCTTTTTTAGTTTCACTTGTTTCGACTTTTCTGTGACAGGAAAATGTATATAAAGAGAGGATGCATGTAGCTCTTACTCTAAACAGATGAGTATTTTTCTGGCTTTAATGCTAACATGCCTTTATTTGTGCCAAGTTTTATACATTTCGAAGAATTTGAAAAACTCCATAATGCCTGGCAAGAAAATCGCAGGACTGCAGCTTTTTTTCCTGCATGTTTATCACACATTTGATGGGAGGAGGTTGGTAAGTGAACTTTAAAGGAAACAAACAAGAGTCGGTAAGATTCCCCAAGTCGGCTGATCAGGCACCTCCCCTGGATAATAATCTGAGTACGAGCCCACACTGAGGTGAAAATTCAAAAACGCCCTCCTGTTCCCATCATCCCCCGACCCCTCACGTCCCCCCTCGTCACCTACTCGTCCTCATCTCCCTTTTACCCTCTGTGCGTTAACCTCATTACCCATGCAAGTAATTGGAATCTCTAAACGCTGGCGAGGCCAGAAGGGCACACAGCCTCACCCAGAAAACCTAATTGGAGAAAGTCTTGAAGCACAGCACAGCAAGGGTGAGAGTCTCCTGAACTATATATATACATACATACTTCACACACACACACCTCTGTCATTCTCGCTCTGTTAGCATCCTTTCTTTATTTCAAAGGCTCTTCATCATCACCATCACCACCTGAGAAAGCAACGGAAACATCCTCCATTCAGTCATCACTTTTTCTTTCTTCCTGACCTTCCACCTCTCCCCATCACCATTTTCTCACATATCTTTTTCTTCAGCTTCATTTCGCACACTAAACCTTCAGCCTCATGTTATTAACTTTGTCACTGACAGCTTTTTAAAAATTCATATATTTTTTATTTTCACTGTCTTTAACCTTCAGCTATAAACCCCTGGGTCTGGGGTCTCAGTAACTGTGTGGACGTCTCTGTGGATTTACAGCAGAGAGCTTTTAACGAACATTTTCACCAAGTCATCCCTCGAGCTGATAACTGAACTTAAACATTCAGTTATAATCAAATTAAATAAGAAATAAGCTACTAACAATCCTAACCAAAACGTTAGCATGGCCTTTAACCATTATGATAATAATAAACTATTTCTTTTGC